AAAATCTCTCTATTATTAGGAGAAAACACCTCACTTACTATCTCACAAATACCTCACAATTTTGTGGGATTACTCTCTTCTCACCCTCTCTTCTTTCTCTCTTATGGTGTGTATATAATGCTTGAATGCATTGCCTATTTATAGGCAAGCATCCATGCAAAAGACAAGGGGTTAGGCAAATAGCACCAATTTGGTGCATACAATTTTTGACTAAGATGGCTACACCTTCTCCCACTATTTTTAACTAAGGTGTAAAAGGATACTACACCTCTCCCATCATTTTTAACTAAAATGGTTAGCTTCACAAGGGCAATTAAATAAACTTTAATACGCGAGAGATCAATTGTACATATGCATCAAAGTCAACAACGTTATAACTACAAGACCCCGGTTTAAGCTTACATAGCTCCAAGTTAAGGCGCTGTATTTCTTTATCTTTTAGTGCTCAGAGATTAGAGTTATATCCAGACAATGCATCCTGCAAGCTAGCGATCAAAAATGCTAAGAAGAAAGTTGAAAGTTACCTTTATATTTCGTAGCTTCTTTTTTATCCATCGAATCATCTTCTTCTTCAATAATCTTTAATTTCAAAGATTGAACGATTCACTACCCGCGACGACTACTACTTTATGGACTCCGACCCTCAAAGATTGGACGCCAGGCTTGCAAGTCTGTGCTCTACAAGTATTTGCAATGGCAGCTCTTCTTATATATGCGTGTGTGCTTTGACCAAGTCAAGTGCTATCATAGCCCCAACTGTTTGCTAATTAATATACACAATTTTTTTTTTTATTGTTTGAATAATTAATATACACAATTTTTTTTTTTATTATTGTTTGAAAGTGTAGTTGTAATTGTTTTTTAAAATATTTTTATTAAAAAATAAAAAAATAATATTTTTTATTTTTAAAAAATTATTTTTGAAACTAACAAATGAAAATACTAAATTAAAAAATTAAAAAATTAATTTTTTTTATGCCTTGCCAACCCATTTTCAGAAAGAAATCTATCTACACTGCTTCCTTTAATGATGTTTGTCTGTTCTTGCATTTGCTTTGTTTATTCTACGTTATTATTGACTTTTGCCAGTCTTTTCCCGCGTTGAGGTTTTCTCGTGTGTGAAAGACTTTGTTTTTCTTTTCACAACTTTCGTCGTTGTTTCTAAAGTTCTCTGTTCTTTCAAGAAAATAAGATTAAAAAAAAACGGCATAGTTTTAATTAAAAAAAGGGAAAATTATAGAATGATTCAAAAGTTTTCTGAATTGACTTGCTATATTTATTCTATGTTATTATTGACCTTATCTTTTTTAATTTTCTTCACATGATACCGGTTCATGATGCATCATTGATAAATAAGATAATCTTAACCTAGCCGGTCTGAAAGAGAGAAATTTGTACAGTCTCAATCTTATTAATAAATATTTTTAGAGATTTTGCCAGTTACAGTAATGATCATCATACTAATTACTTTCAAAGTGTTGAAACATGGTTTGGAATTAATGAAAAATCTGGGTTCTTGAATCATGACATGATCTGTCAGCCTAGTGGGACACCTTTTCCGTGCAATACAAATGAATGGTACTATGCTGATTGCCATGCCTATGTATATGATAAACTCATTGAGTTCACAATAACAAGTTCATTTTCTGAGTTGTTTTCTTATACAGTCCCAGGAATCAGGGCAGATTACGCCAAAAAGCTGATGCACACACAAGTTCGTTCTTGAGCTGGTGAAGCTACTGTGGGAACAGGTTCTGTTATTGGATGATTCACAAATTGCAGAGCTACTTGCAGGCCCTTCACTACCACTCTTCGTTGCAGCTGCATTCATAATTTTTGAGTTTCTAATTGCGCAAATAAAAAGTCTTTAACCTTATTCATGATATTGAAGCACACAAGGACATGACAACTGCTTATAAAGATATTAACAACGCCAGCATATTGCATTTGGCTGGAATAGTTGCGCCTGTGGATAAACTTAATGTTATTTCTGTGCAGCCCTTCAGAGGCAGCGACAAATACCTATCTCTCTAGGTTCTTCTGTCCCTGCAACTTTGTTTTGCATTTTTACAAGTTTCAGTATGATCCATTCTGTATGTGGGGCTGTCGCCTGGAAAAGTATAGATAGCTATGTAATAATACCAGTTGAACAAAGAGTTCTTGTAACATTTGCTTAGACAATTTCTTGTGCATTTTGGTTAGTGTACTATGATAAATAAAAGGAAAAAAAAATGTATTTAGTTGGGGGAATACAAATAAAACTTAAAATAAATCGGTTTATGTAATGTTTTTTTCGAATAAATTTTTATTTTTTAAAATGAAAATAATTAAAAAGACAGAATCATATTTCTATTAACATTTTTTTTTATTTTTTCATATTTAAGACAACATTGGAATGGTATTTAAATCATGAACGTAATTAGAGGGAAAAAAAATTATCTTGGTGGTTTAGGACGAATGGCCGAGAAAAAACTTGAAAATGTCATGAAAAAATGAAAGATAATAAAATTAAAAAGAAAATTAAATTTGATAAAAAGAAAGTTTTTTTTTTAAAAAAAAAAACCTAAATCCAACGATACATTGATTCCCCTCTCCTAAAATTACCTCTTAATTTTCTCAAAAGCATCGATAGACGTGGCATCTTCCGACGCATCAGCTGCACATTGAAACAGTTCTCCGGCACGCAGCTGGCCTTCCTCCTCCACTGCTCAAAAAAATGATCGAGAAATTATTAAAAACCAGAAACCCTAAATCGCCAAATTCCAGCAAATTTCCCCAAATTATGACGCGAAAATCCTCTCTGTTAAAACAAACCCTAATTTTATCCGCCTCCACAGTCCTCATCATCTACGTCTCCTTCAACACCTTCCTCAGCTACTTCACCACCACGGCCACTGCTGGTGTCTCCGCTACAACTTCGTCATTCTTCGCCGAGCAGATTTCCAGAGAGAATTTCCAAGATTTCTCCGTGAAAGCGACGGGAAATGAGAGGAAAGTTAGGGTATTCATGCACGATCTGCCCAAGAAGTTCACAACAGGAATCATCGAGAATCACGCGCTGGCGCGTGGCTATTCTAACTTGTCTAAGGTGAGTTACCCCGGTCACCAACACATGGGTGAATGGTACTTGTATTCGGATCTTTCCCGACCTGAATCGGACCGAGTTGGATCACCTGTGGTCAAAGTAAATGACCCGGAGGAGGCTGACTTGTTTTATGTTCCGGTCTTTTCTTCTCTCAGTTTGACAGTGAATCCAGTTCAGGTAGGGACAGTGCCCGTTTCGGGTCCGGTTTATAGTGATGAGAAGATGCAAGACGAGCTGGTAGAGTGGTTAGAGAAGCAGGAGTATTGGAGGAGGAATAATGGAAGAGATCATGTGCTTTTTGCTGGGGATCCGAATGCCCTTTATCGGGTCTTGGACCGCGTCAAGAATGCGGTTCTGTTGCTGTCGGATTTCGGGCGGGTTAGAAGTGATCAAGGGTCATTAGTCAAGGATGTCATCGTGCCTTACGCGCATAGGATTAATGTTTATAATGGCGATATTGGTGTGGATGATAGAAAAACGCTCTTGTTTTTCATGGGCAATCGATACAGGAAAGATGTAAGCTTATTGACTGTCTTAAAGCTTTATGTGATGTTTGCTGGAAGGAAATATTTATATTGCGTTCGAGAAAATGAAAGATCAAATATTTATTTGCAGATTCATCTATAGCTAACGTTCTTGGCATATGTTAAGAGAAATTATGTGGTTATGCCCTTGTTTGGTTGAGAGAAGGACGGCATTGTGAATTCTTTTTTATTCCCCTCCCTGATGGGTGTGTAGAAAAGACCTGAGTTTTTAAAGCCTGTAGAAATTTGTTAGAGAAATGTTATTATGAGGCCCGTTTGTTTTCTTTTGAAAAAAATTGAAAATTTTTAATTTTTAAAGGCTGTTTGTTTAAAAAATGAAAAAAATATAGTTTTAATGTATTTTCAAAAGAAAAAAAACCACTACCGCACTCCTAAACGAGCTCTATGACACCGAGAAATTAGAGGTATGATTATTATGGCTGTATGGTGCGGTGACATTTATGCTCTGTGGTTTAGATGTGTGGAAATGTGCACTTGTATTTCACCAGTTGTTTTGTTGCTGTTGGTATCAGCTTTAGCATTACTAATAATGTGAAGTGGTGATACTAATCTGTAGATTTGTTTAAAGTGACTCCTTGGCATTGCCCAGAATGAGAAAAGGGGATTATAGTTTTGCATGTGCTGATGTGTTTTATTGAAAGAACATGTCATGTCATCTTTACTGATATTTAGATAACTGATATTCGTGATGTTATGTTTTGTTTCAACCCTTACTCTTTCAGGGTGGAAAAATTCGTGATATGCTTTTTCAATTGCTTGAGAAAGAAGAGGATGTCTTGATAAGTCATGGGACACAATCTAGGGAAAGTCGGCGCACAGCAACGCGTGGCATGCATACTTCAAAGTTCTGTTTGAATCCTGCCGGTGATACCCCATCAGCTTGCCGTCTTTTTGATTCCATTGTTAGCTTGTGTGTGCCATTGATAGTCAGTGATGGTATTGAGTTACCATTCGAAGATGTCATAGACTACAGAAAGATAGGAATTTTTGTGGATACTGAGTCGTCTCTAAAGCCAGGATATTTAGTTAAATTGCTGAGAGCAGTATCCACAGAAAGAATACTGGAATATCAGAAAGAGATGAGAGAGGTAAATTCTACTACATTTTTCTTATAATCAAAACTTCTATTTTGGTGAAGGTGTTACGCTCTTTGTTGCTCTTCTTAATTCTTTCATTGTATTGCAGATGTTCTTTACATGTCACAGTGATTGTTTTATTTTTATTTTTTTTGGTTTTCTTGGGAATAAAAGGTGAAGATTTTTTTTTTAAAGTTGGGATTTGGAACCATATGAACTTTCTTTTTCTTGGCCCAAGGACAGCTACTTAAAATGATCTTACACAAGTTTGTTACGCAGATCACCATAACAAGAACGTTTATTTGCGTGCTGTGTGTGGGTGTAATAGAAAATTATTCTAGCTTTTGAAATCGGACAGTTGTATTCAATTCATTTTTCCCTACATCGTATAGCTGATGTGTTGAAGTTATTTTTTAGTGATCACAACTTGTGGTGTAACATCAGTTACTTGTAGTTAAGTTCTTTCCATTTGAAATGTGTGATTCAGGTGAAACGATATTTTGAATACAGCGATCCAAATGGAACTGTGAATGAAATTTGGCGGGAAATAGGACAAAAGGTGCCCCTTATTCAACTGATGATCAATCGTGAGAAACGGCTTGTTAAGAGGGATTCTATTGAACCAGACTGTTCTTGTCTGTGTACAAATCAGAGTACACTTTTCACCTCCTTGTGATACCGAAACAGATGATGAAGGGCCTAGTTCAGATGTCTCCTGATGTCTCTGGGGAAGGCTCCTCCTGCGTCCAGAAGAATGGCAAATGTTGATGTGTAGCTTTATTGTCTGAAGTAGAATGAAGGAAGCCCCCTGCTCCTTGGAAGGCTGGTTTCTAACAATGCACCAGGTGATCGATCATGAAAATGCCCTCGTGAAAGTTCTTACACAGCAAACATAGCTATAGATTTCCTTTCATATTTTTTATATAGTTCTTCACAGGCTCACACACAACTCATGCTACATAGCATTTGATCAGTCTCAATATTGGACTTCCTAGTTGTAGAATGTTCTATACTTGTAGAAAATAAAGCTTACCATAATTTTGTTTGATTCTTTCACATCGTCGTTGCTTGCTTTGATAACTAACCTGGCTTTAATTTTGTATATAACATCACTTCCTAGAAGTTTTGTATTTTTAGCATCTCGTCTGATCTTGGATGTGGCCAATTGCATTCAGTATTACAATTAGCATCACTAACTTTAGCGATCACGCTACTCTACAGGTTAATTTTTTTTAACATAAAAAAAATGTTCAGCCAGTATTTTTTTAAAAAAATAAGAAAGATCTAAGCTAATTAAACAAAATATTATAAAGTGTGTATCACGTATTTATATTTGATAAGTTAATTTAATTTAATTCAATTCAAAAAATATTTAAAAAAAAAAAAATTAAAAAAGAATATTTGATAAGTTAATTTAATTTAATTCAATTCAAAATATATTTAAAAAAAAAAAAATTAAAAAAGAATAATAAATAAATAAAACCTAAGATAAGTTGTGTTATTAATGTGAAATCTTATATAAAAAATAATAGGATTTAATTTTTAATTAAATAATTATTAAATAATGAAATTAAAAAATATTAGTGTTTTTATAAATAAAAAAACAAGTAAATTAAAGTGAGTTTTTTAAATTTAGATTAATTTTTTAAACTTGAAACTCGTGAAATTTTAAATCCAAACTAAATTAAAATATTTATTATTAATTAATATAACATTAAAAAGTAAAACAAAAAATAGTTTTAAAACAAAATAAAAAATAAGTATAAAATTTGATAGGAAAAAATATAAATGATGATTAAATTATAAAAAAATAATTTTAAAAAAACTATTTTAAATAAAAAAAATAGCAATAAAAATAATAAAAACTAAATATAACATAAAAAAATTTAAATTTAAATTTTTTTAAAATTTAAATAGTAATTAAAAAAACATAAACTAAATAAAAAATTCAAGTCACTTTAAAGTATTAGAGAGTCAAATATATATATATATATATATATATATTTGGGTTTGATGGTATATATTAATGTAAGCATTGCAAAATAAAGAAATATATTGTGAATCAAGTTGGGCTCATCGAAAAATAAATCCTGAATCTTGCAACCTAGTGGAAGTTGAATTTTGCAATGCTCTACATAGTAGAGATGTGTTTAGGATTGTACCGCATATTAAAATATTTTTGATTTAAAAATGTATTAAAATAAAAATATTTTATTTTTAAAAATTATTATCATTATTAGCATGTTAAAACAGTTTGAAAATATTTAAAAAATTCATTTTAGATTAAAAAAATTTAAAAAACACGACTTGTAGAGCTTCCCCAAGCACACTCTAATTCATGAAAAAAAGTATTTTCTAGCATGTAGGGGTTAGAAGCAGTTGAACACGCCACCATTTTCCCAACTTCGCTCTGCATCTAGTCAGAAGTTACAGAAGGCGAGGAGAGAAAGCTTTCGATGATCAAAAGAAGTCGTTGCAGCTTACAACTTTAACAGATCTGAGTATAGAAATAATCCAAGAAAGTGATGGGAAAAAAAAAAAGAAAATGGTGTCATCAAGCTTCAAGATGAATTTATTCAAATCTTTCAACCAGGTGGCCATTTCATCCATCCTCCACCCAGGACATGTAACTGCAAATGATTGAGAGATTGACCTGGAGAGAGAGAGAGAGAGAGAGAGAGAGAAGACTATCAGCACCTTAATGGATGGAAAAGATACTAAAAAAGACTAGAAGTTACAGAAATGAGGTGTGTGTGAACTTACAAGCACCACGACCGTCGTTGATAACAGCACGAAATCCATCAAGGATGCCTTCTTTTTCAGCCACAACTTTGGCAGCATAAAGAAGTTGGCCCGGCACCTCTCCATGGCTTGCTTCCGCCTAATAAAAAGCAATAATCAACTGCTAGCTACCGTTTTAAATTTCAAAGCTGTATAGTCATTTCCATAAAAGTAAAAATTCCCACAACAACAAGATTGCAAAATAGAGAATAGAAGGATGACATCAATACAAATAAGAGTAAGGAAACCAAAATAATAAGAAAACGAAAGTAGAGGGACTAAATGCATCATTAACCTAAGTCCTAAGCCACCAATTTTATTTGGTTAATATTAAAAGAGAAACAGAGGCGAAGGTGGGCTACATAAAAGATGGCAAATTTTGTTTTGAGACTGCCAGCAACCAGTTTCAGGAGCTTCTCTATTTCAGCTTCATCAAATGGTAATCTCTGTCATTAGAATTTTTAATTTTTTTTTTGATCTCTCAATTTGCAAGAAGTATTTATTTCTGTGATTGAGGAGGTTGTTTTTGCAATATTCAGGGGCTGTTCCAGGGACAAGTACTAGAGCACAAAATGGAGGGCCAGTGATCTTAGAGTTGCCACTTGATAAGATAAGGAGGCCATTGATGAGAACCAGAGCTAATGATCCAAATAAGGTGAAAGAACTCATGGATAGCATCAAAGAAATTGGTCTTCAAGTACCTGTAAGAATCTTTTGTCTTTTGTAGGATATAATTGCTGCATTCATTTGGTTTCTGGGTTGCTGCTACTTGAATACTTAAATTCTTTTTTTAATATTAATTGTCTGTCTCAATTTTTAATTTTTTTGTTTGATTGGTAAATATATTGATGAAATGAATACGAGTGGTAGAAATTTTGTGACATTTAGGTGAAGTAACATGACAGAATATAGACTTAGAAGATTATATTTCTTTCATTTTAGAAATTTTATTTTTTAATTTTCCTATTTAGTATTGTTAGGCTTCTCGATTTTTAATAATTAAAGGGAATAGTTTTCCTGTTTTTACTTTACTTTTCTTTTCTAGATTTTTCCATGTAAAAGGTTGTGATAGCATTTTGCAAGTGAAACATGAATGAAGGAATGAAATTAAGTATTTTGGCGTCTCCCATAATTATGGTTTTTCTTGATGATTGTTTGGGTTTTGACTTGTAACAAACCTGGTAAATCTTTGAGTCTTTGAGGGATGGGATTTGATTTATAACAAACCCCACTACTTGTCAAGTATTTTTCTGTCAATAAAAAGATAAAAGGAGGGGAAAAGGTTATGAATTTTGAGAACAATGAACTTGAGTTGTTTGAGTCTTATGTATTGTTTAGATTTTAGGCCATGTCATATCTATCTGTATCGTACTTTATATACGACTGATATCTAGAAATAAATTTACAAGAATGAAAGGCCAATCTCCTTCAAGTCGTTGATTCGTGTGTCTAGGAAGATTGAAGGTTAGTTCCAGATATGTATGAAAAACAATCTATTCTCTTGAAGTCCGACTTCTCTGTCCAATCAAATGGCTGATTTTATCAAAACAAGATTCGCAAGATGAAACTTGGGAAATCTTGAACACGTTTTCATACCTTTGGCATGCTTGAGACTGTGTAGCAAATACACACAAATCACAGAGTTCGTATTTTTGGCCCGTTATATTGAGTTTTATGGTAAATAAGAGTGCGTGGCCTAGGTAGATAGTCACAGCTGTATCTTTCTTTTGAAGATGAGAGTAGTTGCATCTTACTCATTCTTCATTGGATTTCTTACTTTGCAATTGTTGCTTGAGGAAAAGAAAGAAATGGATCGCATCGAAGTGACCTTTAGTCCCCTCGTTAATCTAGTGCTAGAAATTCCTAGACAGATTTGATATGCGCTTAACTTGAATGGCATGTGTTCTAAAGAAGCTTTGTTTCCTTAATTTCAAATCCGTTGTGCCATCACTATCCTTTATAATCATTGCAGATTGATGTGCTTGAGGTCGATGGAGTTTACTATGGTATGTGCTCATATGCTCATATGAAAATCTAGCGTTTCTCTTCACCATCTCATATCATCATTGTTCTCACTTGTAGGATTCTCGGGTTGCCATCGTTATGAAGCTCACCAGCGCCTTGGGCTCCCCACAATTCGTTGCAAAATTCGACGTGGAACTAAAGAAACTCTAAGGTTTACCTTTGATCTCTTGTCAATACTTTATGATCTTCATCAAACTCTGTTGATAAGTAATTTGATCTTGCCTTTTCCATTTTATTTTGCAGGCATCACCTCCGCTGAGTCCTGGTATGAAGTCTTTTCCAAGTGATTAATCTGTAACTTAGTTTGGATATCGCTATTATCCTGGACCGCTGGACTCTTATTGCAAGTAATTACAAGGGTTATATCAATATCACATATATACAAGTGTTAGAGTTTATACATTTTATCATTCTAATAAAAATGGTCATACACAAGCTGCTTTTATGACTCTAGTAGTTTTGAATTCTACTACTTTTTTTTCCCTCACATTTCTAAGCTATTTTAGCTATAATGGGAGAAATATGATTTCACATATTGGTGCCTTTGGCCTCCTAAATGATGCAGCTGCATTCCTTGCACATGATGAATGAGCAATGAAAGTTTCTCACCAGATCCACTTCTTGTTTATATACTCCTGTGTCTGAGCATTCAGTATTTCTTCTCTTCACGTGCTTCTTCCTTGGTGTTGTTTCATCTAGCATTTGCATGCCGACGGACAGATGTGCCATCTTCTTTGCCTAAATTTCTCTAATTAATTCTCTACTCTCTCCATGCTGGTTGACACACACACTCCGTAGAAGAGAAGGATGAAGAAGGTAAGGAGCTCGTAGAAACCGGCTTTGGTATTTGTATTTCTTAGGTATAGCTTTTAGCTGGGAGATAAAAGACAGAAGGGGTGGAACTATGGGGATGAGACAGTAAGAGATAAGACGTGGGAGGAATGACTGATTTATATTTACCCTTGTGCATATTCTTGTTTGTTTCCAATAGCCACGGTGGATAGGGTAACTCAAGGGGGAGAGGATTCTGATGGAGGGGTGAAAATTTTATATTGAATTTAGGTTTTTCAGGACCGCATCTTGGACTCAAAATATATGGGCTTGAGGTGGCATTTTGTTTTTAAGCTCAATATTCCTTGCAAAGTGAGTTAATTATTGGAATAGAGGCTGTCCTACATTTAAATTATTAAAATTGTAGGAGAGAAATAGCATGGAAGGAAGAGAAAGAAAGAAACGATTTGTGGGTTATGTATGAACTCATGTTCTTAAATGAGCTGAATGATCTAAATAGTTTTCTTAGATTATTTTTCTGGTAATATAAGGTATTTATACACTTTAATCGCATAAACTTATCTCACAAAGAGTAAAATAATGATAAAGAATAGTTGTTCTCTATGTAAATAATCTAAAAGGTCGTGTTGTCGATTGCTGTGTCGTTGGAAGATTAGAACTTGCAAGTGAAAGGTATGAGCGGTGAGTGAATGTGAGCTCTCTCCAGGGAGCAAGTTACCAGGAGATAGCTGTGGATGAGAAAGATAGGTATTATACTGAAAATTCGTGTATAAGGATTAAAAAATCAGCGAGTTTATTTGCTGGAGAAAAGTTTTTTTTTTAAAGTGATTTTTTTAAAAAAATAAAAATTAGATAATATAATAAGAATTAAGTTGAAAAATATTTTTTATATTTGATTATATCTTGAAAAATAAGTTGAAAAATAACTTATTAATATTTTATTTTTTTAAGTTTATTAAAATAATAAAAAAATCTTACAAATTAAAAAGTTGAATGAAAATAAAATTAAAAAAATATAATTTTATAAATTATCTCAAATAAAATAAAAAATAATCAAAATAATAAAGATTAAATCTAAAAAATAAAAAAATAAAAATTAACATTTCATAAATTATTTTAAATAAAATAAGTAACAATTAAAAAAATAAGGACTAAATTTGATAAATAAAAAATTTCAATTAAAAAATAATTTAGAAAAATCAAATAACAATTATAAAACGAAGATAAAAGTTAATATTAAAATTAAATTATAAAGGATGAAATTAAAAAATAAATACTCAAAATAATATATAGAAATCAAAAGTTTAATAACTAAATTTGACATAATCAACAAATAATATGATATTTCTAAATTTTTCATGACTTCTGAAAAGTATTTTTTGCTTAAAATAAAAGGAAAATATTTTTCTGAAAATTATATCAAAATTTTCTTTAATTAAAAAATATATTTTATTGATCAATTTTTTAATAATAAACAAATATATATAAATTTAAAAAGTAATTTCATCTATTTTTATTGTCTTAAAAATATAAAAATATAGTTACATAACCTTTACCAATCTAACCGGCCAATTTAGAATCTAATTTATGCAAGGTATAAAATGTTCTGAGTTAACCAAAAAAAAAAAGTTAAGCCTGTCAAAAACATGGAGTGAGCTGATTATTTAAGTTTGATCCAATCAAAACATGATCTTTAATTCATTCCTTAAGTTGAAAAAATAATAAAAACAATGTTATTTGAATTTATTTTTTAAAGAAATAATTTGGGTCGATCATCCTAGCCCGAGACTCTTGATGTGAGCACTTTCCAAGCTGATCTCAAGATGGGTTTTATAACTATACTTGGAAGGAGTAACCCTCCTTAGGGTTTGTGCCTGCTCGCTGAAGAGTAGTCCGTTGAGCTGTGGGAGAGGAATAGTGTTTTTGCCCTTTAAATAAATAAAAATTCAAAATTCATTCCATCCTAGTTTTAGAACACAATACCGAACTTAGATAAGTATGTTTTTGTCTTTAAACAGCTAGGAGGATTATAATATTATATTTGTTTGGTTTAGGCTGTCATGTTTTGTATTAACAACTCTTTAACTACTAAATTTGCTCTGGTTCGTTTTCTTTATTTCCGAGCTAACTAAACAGGCTGAAAAGGGAAGTGGGAAATGAATTTGATGGGGTTGGTATCATGGAGGCCAGGTGTAGAGAATTAAGAGGTGGATGGATACATACACACTAACATCTATCTCTTACATATTACTCCTCAGTTACACTCCTCCATTCCCAGGCACTATAAATCCAATCATGCTGGCTTAATGTCTAAGTCAAGTATGCTATCCTAATCCAAATCTTACTGAATTCTTCCATTGTACGCCCAGCACATGAATCCCTCCAATCCCCAGCCAGCCACCATCGTGAGGAAGTCAACCGTCCAGTAAAATCATCGCCGGTTCCCATGCCCGCACACACACCATTGTAGCAGAAAGCTTGTTTAAAATTACAGTAATGAACTTCAGTTGACTCATAAATTTAGATCTAAACTCGAGTTAAGTTTGTAGTTAAACTATATAAAATATTGACCTGGTAAAACTTGATTAAGTTTACTATTTTTTTAGTGATTTAGCCAAAACTGGTTGAGTCAACATGAAGGAGATTTAAAAAAAATAAAGCAAAATAACATTGTTTTAATTAAAAAAAAGAAAATTACTTTTAGTATTCTATAATCTGGTTAAAATTATATTTGTTTATGAACTTTTAAAAAATTATAGTTTAGATACAAAATAAATATAAAATAAACATAAAATAAACTAAATTATGAAATGATTCAGAATGTAAATCGATACCCTTTTAATAAAGTTCAATTTAAAAACTTAATAGACAAATATAATTTTATCTAAATTATAAATTAATAAAGATATTTTTTTCTAACATAATTAATTTGATAAATTACAGGTTGATTCGGTGAGTTACCGTTGAATATTCTTTTTCAAATCATATCCACAACCCCATAGGTTTTTCAGAGTTAATTTTAGAATATTATAGATGTGAAGGAAAACAAAACTTGATAGCTGGTAAATATAAGGGGTTAATTAATTAATTAATTAATTAATTTATTAAGTTGGTTATGCTGTTAATTAACAAGTCTGTCAAATAACAGCGGCTTGATAATATGTCTAACTTAATTAATGGGATGATAATACGAAAAAAAAACAATGCAATTTCACAATTTTTTTTCTTTTTACTTTCGGCACTGTTACTGTGGACATTGACTGAAGCCCTAACCTGACAATTTCATTTTGAAAACCTTAAGTTTATTAATTTGGAACTTTATATCATCAGTCGCGACCACTGTCATTCGAATGGGCTGCCTTAAAAGGAAACTCATAGGACCTTGTAAATGATCTACTTCGCCAGCTTAAAAATATGGACAAATTCACCATATGATTAACATTTATTCTTGGATCAGAATAATTAAGATATGATTAGGGGTGTTCAGGGGTTGGGTTGGTTCCGGTCAATATCTCTAATTATATACAACTAAATTTTTAATATTTTATAAATTATACGTTTGAACAGGTTATATATATACCGAGGGGTAATTTTTTAACATTATATCACATAAATAATCAGCACTAAACATAAAAAAATTAAATATTTAACAAAAAAGATGAAAAAAAAATCATTTCATTTTGAAATGATGAAATTATTTTTTTTAAAAATTATTTTTATATTTTTATTTTTATTATTTTAACCAAATATATTTTTTCTGCAAAGACACCAAACAAACTCAACTTTAAGAATCAAGCAAGCACAGGACCATGTCCACACTATAAATATTTTTCTATCACCCACACCATTTCAGACACAAATCTACAAACTAATTTGAAAAATATTTCGGATTATTAAATTATTGTGTTAATTTATAAATCACCATGTAACTATTTTTATAAAATAATATTTTTATCTTATTTTTTTAATTATTGATTTGATTAATTAAATTAGTAAAAACTTGTATATATTAATATGATATAATTAAAACTTGTATATTTAAATAAGTTATGGTTATTTTTGAAAATGTTTTTTAATTTATAAATATATTAAAATAATATATTTTTATTTTTTAAAAATTATTTTTAGTATTAATATATCAAAATATCTAAAACTACTTAAAAAATATTAATTTAAAATAAAAAATAAATATTTTTTTAATTTTTTAAAAATATATTTAAAACACAAAAATAAATAACCTCCCATCTTTAATTTCTCAGACCAGCTTTAACATCTTTGAAATATAAAACAAGGAAAGGTAATCTTCTCTACACTCCACCAATCATGTTGCTGTACTTTTATTATATACGTGCATCCCACCATCTCAAAAGCATCTCCTTATCAGAAAACCAAAGAAAAATAAAATAAAATGGACCATCTGTCTGGCTATTTTATTTTTCTTAATAACTAATTAAATTGTCATTTACATGTCATTAATTTATAACAATAATAATAATAATAGTAAATCCGCTTTCCAATTTTCTTTCTCCATTTAAATAAAAAACACAATCACTCAGCCCTCCTCCTACCCCAGCTCTCTCTCTAAAACCCTCTCATGTTCCTCTTCAAAAGACTCAGATCTGAAGCTTACGCCATTATTAACTCCACTCTCTAGTTTTCCATTTCTGTAAGC